CCCCCCCCCCCCCCCCATTTCTCAGTTCAGTCGACAGTCGTGGGATTCCCTGGTGGCCTCCCATCCAAGGCTAACCAGGCCCGGCGCTCCTGAGATTCCCAGCCCAGTCTCCCGCGCGACGCGGTCCATCTCTGGCCACACCCCCTTTCGGAGGAGCTGAAGTGCTGAGCGGGCCTTTGTAGGGGGAGAGGCAGAGAAGGGAGACGGCCTTATCCGGGGGAAATGGTGGCCTCGCCCTATTTGCGGGTTGCCCTTCGGCTGCTCGGCGGGGCCGGGCGCGCTGGCGGCTGGGGCTCCTGCAGGACGAGGCTGTGAGCGGAAGCGCGGGTGGAATGCGAAAGGGCTTTCTCTCCCCGGCAATCCGATTAAAGGGAGGAAAGCGAGACCCACCGTCTGGGCAGGAGCCAGCTCCCTTCCCCTGGATCCCGGCTGCTCTCTCGGAGAGGCTTCCGCCGCGGCGGGAAAGTGGGCGACGGGGAGGTCGGCTCTGCACAGGGAACGAACCCAAATTGAAGGAAAAGTTCGCTGAGAAGCGAACACTCTCTGTCTCGTTATTGGCAAAGACCCTTCACACACACACGCACACACACGCACATCTGAACGAGAGAACGTATTTGTGTTACTATGTTTCAACATCAACACACTCGTCCCCTTGTTTTTCAGTGTATATCATTTGTTTGCTATGTGTGTTGGCGTGTATATGTGTGTGAAGAGAGGTTTGGGGTGGGGGGTAGAAAGAAAAAATGCTTGGTCTCTTCGCAATCTCGGAGACGCCGACAGACGTGTACAGAGACACGCTGGACACACCTTTGCCGCTTCTCTCTCCCCCACCCGCCCCGCATGGTGCGGTTTTTACTGTTCGGAGTGTTGACCGATGCCCAGATTCCGAAATCCCCATCAGGGAAATGCCTTCACGTGGACCCCAAAGTTAGAAAAGAGTGCTCAATCTTCGTTAAGGTCCAGTCCAGGGTTCTTAAGCAAGAGGGCCAAGTAAAACCAAAGAGAGGGGCAGATGGGGCTGAAAAGAGTGGTTAGAAGGCTCCGTGC